AGTTACTCATTTTCCAAATTTTGTCCTCATATACATATAGTGATGAAAACACCAATAATCATCATCTACATAATTCAATTGCTTTCTAAAGACAACTATATTTCCCGTGGTGATTGTGAATTGAATATTTGAATGATACATATTACATGGTCCATATATCAACTTATTTATTTATTTTAAAAATAGGGAGAAATTGAAAGGGATAAACAAAAATGAAAAAATGGGTCGTCCAGGCTTATAGGCTTATTCAAAACCTAATTCAAAATAATGTTTGCGTTCGGATCGTTTGAAAAAATGCCGTTTGGCCTCGAGACATGTTCATACATCTATAAATGGCTCACATGTATATTATTTATCACATTTCATTTGATTTTTTCAGAGCCTCTACTTGCATTTTACAAAGTATATAAATTCATATTGTGGTCGTTTTATGAGAATTTCAAATTAAAGTATATATTTGTAATGCCATTATAAACGAGATGTACGTTGGTGTATCTTGGGACACATTTGTTTTACCATGATATTTATACGACACATATATGTGTTTTTAGAAGAACGTAATTATGATGTGTCTCAATTCTCGAATTTAGTTTTTAATCGCACTTTGTTCAATTGTTCTTAAATCAATGTTCACATACTACTTGATACCACATCACTCATCGTGTGATCCACCTTTTAATTTGTTATTTCCAAAACAAGCATCAGGGTGGAAACAAAAAATGCTTATGCAACATATTAAATACATATGTTTGGCGATGCTCAAAATTTTGATAATAATGTTGATTGTTGAAGTGTGTAAGGGAGCGAAATTATGCATATAAATAATTTTCATGAGAGAACACAAATTATAGCGGAAGCACAAATAAACAATTTTTTTTTTTCGAATAGTGTCCTACTATCTATCAGAACTCTTTCATTAGTGAATAACTGCATCCCACAACGTATAGATTAAATTTACACGTAAATAACTCCCCCGTAAACATACTAACACTATATACCACTTCATCAGTAACTACTTTTTTTGTCAAACTCGTGGACTTAGAAGCCCCTCTTGGATCCCTCCTAAGCACTTATCCAAAGTGCTTAGTAATTATAAAAGGAAACCAAGCTCCAAACTTGTAGAAGTGTAGAAATGCACATTAGTAAGCTTAGATCACAAGCTATGAAAATAAAAAGAAAACTCACCAACACTCAGAGTGAGTAGTATAATTCTATGACCTTTGTACTGTCAAACTGTTCACCTCTCCTAGAATAGAATATAAAAGTCTCTTTTCGCTAGGTTGATGTTTGTGACCATATAATAATAGATATCTTGGTTCCAAAGATTTTTTCGATACTCCAAATCTTCAAAATTTTCTCAATGAATGTGCTTACTTCAGTATGACTCTTTAATGGTACGGAAATCTTTAGATTTACGAACTTTCCAAATTTGATGTAATAAACACATTTTCTTATGTGCGGCATTCTTCTAATTTGACTGAGTTTTCAGCATATCTTCAGTAGATATCCTTCTTATCCTTACAAAACACGTCCAAATCTCATAATCTCGTGTATATCTTCTCCTCTAATCAATATCCACCTAATAAAAAGTTTTCTACACATATAAGGAAACCTTGTAAGCATATAATCATCATTAAAATATCCATGACTACATGTAATCCTTCTACAATAAGGTTTAGGACTCCTTAATATTTACCATATTATAAACTAAGCATACATAGATAGAATATACAATAGGAACAAAATAACAATCAAGTAAATAAATAGAAACCTTTATTTTAAATTGTTTTGCTTGCCTAACAAAAAAATCATCAAAAATAACATCAAGAAACTATGATTAAATTCGAATGATGCCAACAAAATATGTTAACAATCTCTCTCTTTGGTATTCAGTTCGAAAACTATGTTCTTCTTCAAGATAAATTAACCTACAAAACAATTAAAAGCAGCAAAGCAAATATATCTATGTAAAAACACCAGGAACCAGTCTACTCGTTAATATGCATGTAAGAACATAAATACAAGTTCCTATGAAATCAAATCTATGACTAGAATCAGAGTTAACAACTACTCCCTCATGTTCATAATATGTGTCATTTTGAGAAGTTGCACAATAATTATGATTTTTTTTTTGTCAATAACAACCCTCTTTAATAAAAATTAATAATGTAAAAATTAAGAATGAATATGAAAAGGCGTAGTGTATTTATTAGCTAAATGAGGGTAATAATGAAAAAATATGTAATAAAATATCCAAAATGTTATTTATTTGGTTAATGGTTGATAAAGTTAAAATGACATTTAAAAAGAATAGGAATGAGTAATAAATAATCATCCTAAATATCAGAATTCATATAAAATCAAAACTCAGAACCATATATATGCACTAAGTAAACATACAAGTCTCAGAAGACTCTTCTCAATCAATTAACACAGCGACCAGCTAAACATCATCAATATAAAGGTATAACATCAGAAAATAAATATGTTCTTTCATCCTGCAAAAGCAAGTCACAAACTGTTCTTTTTTCTTGCGAAAAAAGATCGTAAACTAAATTCCAAATGTCTCAAATATCTTCAGAAATATCATATTTCTCCCCTTTTGCTTTTGGAAAAGAAGAGTGAAAATTTCAAAACTATATGATGATTAGTCCAGACTGAAGTGTGTAATCCAGTGTCATTGCCACAAGTATGTTAGAGATTTTGTGACTCCTCAAGTTAGTAACTATATATATGACCTAAAAAATGTAAAATTGTAAATCAAATTTACTTTTATTTCGATTGTGATTTAAGGGAAACTTTTTAATTTTACCAATTTAAGGCACAATTTTTTAATTGTTGAAAATTGAAGCATGAATTTAAACTTTGGTGATCGATGAATATTGTGTCAGATCATATCACATCACTTGCAAATATAAGTCTAACGATCACGTATGAAAAACATCAGTATATTTGAGGTGAAAGTATTGATAGATTTACCGCGTTCGTGGAGGATCTAGAATTTATAGTTTGAAGCGAAATATATAAGATCTATAAACTGCTGGTTTTTTTTTTTGTGATTTTTTTTTAATGGTGGTTGTNTATTTTATATTTTTTGAGGTTAAATTGTATTACTTTACAAATATAGACCACATTTGATATATTTTGGAACACAATTGTAATTTTTCTATTTGGCAATAGTAATTGAGGTGCGATTTTATTCAAAGTGTTTGTAACTTGTTTAATTAATTTCAATATTTTATTTTAATTTTTGTAATTATAATTTTTAACAGAGTTCGTAATTTTTAATTATATGGTAAAATATTCATTTTTTTAAATCATTAAGACTTTAATTATAATTTTTTTAATTAATTTATCACAACTAACACAATAACACAAATTAGTTTTAGAGAATATTTAATAAATAAATAAAATAAAATAAAATAAAATAAATATTTTAGATTGAGTTGGGTTGTAAGGTTGAATTGTGTAGATGAAGAAGAGAGAAATAATTTTTAATTATTAGGTTGAGTTGGGTTGTGTTGTGGATAAATTCAGTGTTAGCTTGCACGCAATATAACTTGTAATTAGACATGACCAAGGTCGACCCGGCCCGGTGATCCGGCCCAGAACTGGCTTGGACCGGCCCAGATTTACCGATTTTTGAAATCGGACCCTTAGCCCTTAAGGGCCGGTTCCAAGTTTTAATTTTTCTTTTTTGACCCACCGGTTCCGGGTCGGAAGGCAGGTCGTAATTGGTTTTATTTTTTAGGTCATCTTCAGCCCTTATCTCTACTCTAGAGCAGAGTGAAACATTCATCTCTAGACCTTATCTCTACATTTACTCTAAATCAAATATATTTTTTTTCATTTTTATTTGTGTATTTTATAATTTATTATATTATTTTTATTTGTGCATTTTCTAATTTACGTTTGTTCTCAACTTTTAATTTTAATGAAATCTCTTGTTTGAATGTGTTAAATTTTTATTCATATGATACCGTTTTAATATTAAAAATTTATAAAATAAAATTATAATACATCAATAAATAAAAAGCAATAAATTGCTACTATATGTTTGACAAAATACAATAATATACAACAATATATATATATATAGATATATCGTGATTATTTTATTTAAAAAATTATATTCAACAAATACTTTTATAGTGTTTGCAAAGAACATACAGACAATATATAGATACAAATAATATATATATATCAAGATTAGTTTGTTTACATAATATATTTAATAGTATTTTATAATGTTAGAAATTAGGATAATGTTTTTATATGTTTTCAATACACTTTCATATGTAACAAAAAAAATAAAAATGTGGCATCAGGTGAACAGTGTAGCGTCACATCTGCAATGTATATTTATTTGAAATAGCGTCAAAATAGGGTTAGAACCCAATATTAACACTAACTCTGACACAGCTTGGAATTGATCTTAACTTGTATCTCTATTTTGAAGAAATGAAAGTACATGTTTTGAATTGCCAAAATTAAGAAATTATGCTTAAATAGTTATCCATGTAAATTTTATAATTTGTAAAACTACTTAAAGAGAAATTGAATATACATTAAATTAAAACACATTTATTTGCCTATTAGTTAAAGAATATAATATTATCCATTTCATTTTTTTTTATCATATTTCAAACATAATTTCTAAATTAAAACTCAGTCATTACCATACTGCTATGTAAAATTGTTACTATTCATTTCATATATACAACTAAGAATCGTTAGTTTCATTATTCTTTATCAGACCAAAATTAATTTTGACAATTTATTCATAAAACATATTAATTAGTTCTTCACTTTTTTCCAACAAATTGTTATTGTAAAACATCCTGCCTTTTTTTATCTACTTCATTTTTCCTTTTCTTTTCTTTTCTTTTTCACCATTTGACTAAAGTCTGCTGCCTGCAACAGTTAGCTAGCTCAGCTTCCCCAAAATCTGAAAGCAACCATTGAAACTCAAACCCTAGTTCCTCTCAATACTGCGAAAGATGTACCAATCTTGTGCCCTCGCCTTCTCTTGCCGCTCGTCCGGTCCATTTTCCTACCTAATTTTCATCTTAGCCATTCTTTCAGCTCTCAATTTCTCCTTTTCTCTCCCCGGAAAACCGCATTTGGGTTCAAATCTCGTTCTCCTTGGTGACGCAAAATTTGAAGACAATGGCTCCTGCATTCGTCTCACTAACCCCGGAATTTCCTCCCCGAGCTCCGGATTTATCATCCAGAAAAAGCCCATCAAGCTTTTCACCTCGAACTCCAAGTCGAAAAACCCTGTCTCCTTTTCCACTGACTTCACTTTCTCGATATCGCCCCACAATGGCGACGGCCTAGCCTTTCTTCTCGTTCCCACGAACTTCGTGTCGAGATTTTCCGCCGGAAGTTTCGGGGTTTTGAAAGAAAGGCGGTTTCTTGGGGTGGAGTACGATACCTCGTTCGACGAGAACGTTCGGGACCCAAATTCGAACCATGTCGGTATTGATGTGGGCAGTCTTGTTTCTTCGAAAACAAGCAATGTTTCGTCTCTCAATTTGGTTCTGAACTGTGGAGTAAAGTTGCATTCTTGGATTGATTATGATTCGAGCTCAAAAAGGATTGAGGTCAGGCTGGCTAAATTCAGTGCCCGCAGGCCCTATGAGCCTCTGTTGGTTTATCAGCTCGACTTAAGCCAAATGTGGGGAAACCAAGAAGTGCTAGTAGGATTGAGCTCGTCTAGTGGAAAGTCGGTGCAGGTTAGCAGCGTGTATTCGTGGAATTTCAAGACGAGGACTGTGCCAAAGTGGATGCACTCTAAACCGCTAGACCCAAGGAAATTTTTGGGCAAGGGCAGTGAGGATAATAAATTGACCCAAAAAAAAAGGATTTGTGCTTTAGGATTTCTTTCTGGATTGGTTTTTGTGACGGGATGTGCGGCTTTGCTTGCTTTAGTCGTGCTTTTCTTGTGGGCTTTGTATGAAAACAGTTCTGAGACGGTTTTGACCATTCCGCGAAAGTGCAACATGGGGTCGGGTGATTTCAGGTATGAAAAGATTAAGGTAGTGGTGGGTGATAACTCGGCTGATGCTAAGAATTAGAGTACTACTCTTGAATTTGCTCATGTATGTGTTTTGTATGTTATGCTCTGCAATATAATCGTCTATGGATGGTGTAGTTTCTGACTGATTTGAACTATGAATGAAGAGGGTTCATTCCGTATTTGTGTGTTATTTGGGATTTTATATTCCAGTTCATATATGCTCTCTATTTGCATGAGAGGACTTAGTGTGAAGTTTTACAGTGAAAACTGCTGAAAGTGAGTCTTGATGTTATAGTTTTGTGTATCTGCTAAGTATTGCAACTCAAAAGGGTCAGAGCAAATGATAACCTTGCTGAATTTTTCAGTTTATGGTGATAATCAGGTTTACAGTGATAATCCAAAATTAATTCAGTTTAAGATGTTGTGTTGTCTCACTAAAGTTTGCACATTGTTTAGACGGTCAGTTAACTATAAAGACATACACGATACACCACAAGTCATTTGCCCTTCTGCCTATTTTATGAGAATGAGAATTGAGAGCTTATCATCTTTTAGTCATCAGTTGCATGTACTGCCTTTCATTTTCTACACGACTTGTTAAAAGCTGGGGACGAATTTGTAATTACCACAGAGGCTAGCTTTGAATTCACTCTCAAGTCTTTGTCTTTTAAGTTTGAGGGCATTGCTTATGCCATGAAGGTCATGAAAGTCGTTTAATGTTAAGTTGATTATGATTTTTGTTGTTCCGTGGTATGAATAGTATGATTTCGAGGATTCTTCCTTGCTTCTTGAGACTCTGAAACTGATGGATTTATAACGTGCGAACATGCTTATGTTTCATGTGAGCTGCTTATGTCTATTTGAGATGCATATATTTTTTCTCGGTTGTGCGCTCATTGTGGAAAATGTTGGTCCTCTTCGCAGACAGCAAATCACATGATAAATTATATTGATTTGAGACATAATTCAACCTTTTCGAGTATATGGTTACACAAATTATAATGATCTTGTTCATCAAGAATTTGCATTGTTATAGTTAGTTCAATCTCAGAGCTATGTGACTATGAACCGAAGCACATATTTATGCTCTTCCAAATTAAAAGGATATGGTGGCTTGTTCTTATACAAATAAAACAGTGACACAAAACATAATTTCCAAGTTGAAACCAAGGACAAAATTCTTGATGTGTCTAATGTACTTTGTATAGAAAAAGCTTCAAACCTTGGTATTTCTTCTTCATCCTTTCTTCTTCAACAGAAAAACGTACTGTTTGTATCTTTTCACATTTTTTTCTTTATTACAAAACTGATACTTTCTTTTATTTTTTTTCTTTCTTTGGGAAAACATTTCGTACAGTTTCACATTCACTTGAACCATTTCTTACATTCTACGTTTCTACAAAACAATTTGATGTTGAGTAAGGCTGCTGTTAAGGAATTTGTGTTTGCGGTATTTAAGAATTGACACGCTATAAATTTTCCTTACATGTTGTTGTCTTATAAAATCAAGGGCTTAAAAAAATCACCTTAACAGAACCCACCATTGATTCTGTGCTTCAGCGCTCAACCAGTAAAAAACCAAACGCCATAGTTCATAAACTATGTATTCAAGTGAACAGTGAATTAGAATCGAACAGTAAGAATGGATTTAAATCACCTACAGGAAATCCTTATATATTTTCTCATATTTTTCAGCTTCTATCTTCATAATAGCTTTTATGTTATGCTTCTCTATTTTTGGGAGGAGCTTTTATAATTGGTGTTAAGGGATAATTCCCAAAATTACCAGTTTACTACCTTGAGATTTGGNTAGGGGTGAGCATGGTGCGGTTCTGTGCAAAACCTCACCGAACCGCAAAAAACCGAAAACTGAAATTTTTTATTTACCCAAATCGAACCGCACCGAAACATGTAGAAAAACCGAACCGAAACCGCACCGAAGTTTTCAGTTCGGTGCTGTGCGGTTTCAGTTAACCGCAATTATTTTTAAAAAAAAAAAACACCAAAAATAAAATGAAGCTACATCATCATCATCTAATGTGCAACATTACCAAACCAAAGCCCAAGAGTTGAATTGAAATTGAAAAACTAAAGCAAGAAATTAGATTTTAATGTAATGTTATTAATTTTTAATTGTTATTGTTATTATTTATTACTTTACTTATTTATTGTTAATGTTAGTCATCCCAAACCAAAAGCCCAAAATGAGCATGTATATGTACAATACAAACATGTTAACATATTTCATATTTGTAAAAATATATATAAAAAAAAAACATATTCGGTGCGATTCGGTTAAAACTGCATCATTCGAACAAAAAACTGAACCGCACCGAAATTTATGCGGTTTTTCAAAATTTTAACCGCACCGGAAACCGAACCCTTAAAAAACCGAACCGAACCGCACCGGAAACATCAATTCAGTTCGGTTTTTCGGTTTTGGCTCGGTTTTGCTCACCCCTAACTATAGTGAAGTCATATCTTTTTTTTTTTTTCCCAAAACGATAGAATAGTGAAGTCATATCTAGTATTGCAATTTTCCCATTTCATGGAGTTGCATGTGATAGTTTTTCTCTCTTTGATTTCCTTTCTTACCTGGGTGGATTATTGACCCTTGATTTAATTGGCCCCAACTTTTCTTAATAAATAATTTATTGTATAAATTTGGAATAAAACATGGGATTGCACATGTGAACTGCACATATATCCGGGCTAGTTTTTTCCCCCGGATTCTTGTTGATGTGTTGTGAAGACTTTTCAATCAATTGTTAAAATTTTAAAAAATGCTTGAACGAGTCTTCTCTCGGTGTAATTGATGTGATTTTCACGTCGTGTTCGCATCTCGTATGATGCACGGACAGACTTTTTATTTAAACTTTTAAAAATTTCTTTAATCATAATTTACTAGTACAATACTCGTATATTACACCGAGAGTTTGTTAAAAAATTATTTTAAATTTTAAAATTAATGAGAAAAAGTATTTGAAAATTTAAATATTTTTTTTACAAAAAATATATCTTATTATATATTTTAGGATGACACTTGTTATTTGTGCGAGTTACATGCATTATCTGATAATAATTTTTCTAACTTATATATCATATAACCAGTGACGGATCTAGAAATTTCACTCAGGGGGTCCGATTTTAAATATTAAATAATATAATTTAAGTCGAAACACTCATTTCATATACAAATTAATTACTGTAAATATAAATATCAATATGATTACCATTATTTTTTTAAATACTTACAACCCGTATCACCCTTAAACTTAAAAAAAAAAACGAAATTTCATGTATTTATAATTTAAGTGCAATATCTATAATTTATGAAAAATAAGTTTTTTTGGTTGAAAAATTAATTTAAATTTTACTTTTGCAGCACATTGCATAATGTTTTTGTAGATGAGAGCTTATCAAACGAACATTTTGTAACAAAAAAAATAGTTAAAAATATGTAATTACACAACAAAAAGGTAAACAATCAATATTAAAAAATGTAACAATCCAACTAAAGACTCGATTTTATAAATCACTAGATTGATTTACAATTAAGAGACCGAAATAGTAAATCATTATAAATATTTTCAAAGCTTATATGAACTTGTAAAATATAAATATTGTTAGTATATATTTAAATAAATAAATAATATTATTAATTTAAATAACAATAGCATAGCAAATAAATTTTAATTATTAATATATTGTATATAATTTTTTCATTTTTATACATATTTATTGATTTTCTTTGTAAATATATATATATATGTACTTCTTAAAAAATGAGGGGGGTCCATGGCCCCCCTTGGGCCTCATTTGGCTCCGTGCCTGCATATAACTACTTTAAACACAAATATATTACTTGATAAATAATTTTATTTTTTAATTAATATTATTCTAACTAATATTAATAAATAATTTTATTATTATTATACAGATAAATAGAATTTATTTATTTTATATATACAACATTGATGTCAAATCAAAACTTATCAACAGATAATTAATTTCATATATTATATAAATATAACAGATAAAAATAAAAAAGCTATTAAGTTTTAAAATACATTTACAATTCAATGGTTATAATATGAAATGATCTAAAAATGTAATTAATACATCTAAAATGACCATAACTAATCAATATATTTATGGACAATCCGAATATAGTTATTTTAGGATTGGAAGTAAATTAAAATCTATCCAAGTCAAACAATGAAAGCATGAAATTTTGGCACATAGAATCCCGAAGCATGCGAGCCTGCCACTTAGGCTCAGCACATTCAGGAATTATATATAAGGGATAAGGGATATTTAACATCTCATTATTTCAAGAAAAAGGAATACAAAACTATAAAAAAATCATGTATTATTTATTTGAATATAATGAGTGTCCCCAACCAAACCAATAACATCTAACTTATGTGATAAATTAATTATATGAATCGTCATGCTTTTTAAAATTCGCATTAAAATTTATAATTTGGACATTAGATGAAAAATGGATATGTAAAAAGAAAAAAGGTACCAAGAATCCACATACTATGAGATTTTTTTCTAAACTTTAAAAGATTTTGTAGTTAGATATGGACAAAAAAATCATTAAGTAAGTTGAAGAATCCGAAATATAAAAATTAATTTCCGAAATTAACATTCTTTATTAAATAAATATGAATTTTTAGTTGTGATTATAAAATATGAGATTTGTAAATAGATAAATATTGATAAAAAATATTTAACAATTAAGTTGACATGACTTTTCAGAAAGATTTCAAGAAAATTTAAACATTTTATTCGTTAAATAATTGATCGGATTGTTGTAACCAAATTACATGTTTCATGTTTGACTTAAAAAATTTAAAGAAATGATTGATCCAATTTTTTGTAAGCAACATTTTCAAGATTCTTTCTCATTATTGGCCAAATTTACCCGTAACATTTAAAGAAATCATTGCTCATATTTTTAGGAATGTTTATACAATATCTTTCTAAATAACAATATATTTTTTTTTAATTTGAATTCGAATTTTCATTCAACTGTCATTTTCCAAAAAAATTACTAAGAATAGTAACTTTGAAAATTTTAAACGGGAATAATATTATTTCAAATAAATCACTCTCTCTATTATACAGTAATAGATTTTATAATTTTAAAATGTTTGAAAATAGATTTTGTACATAATTAGCCAAAGCCAAAGGGCTAAAAAGACACTAATTTTACACTTCATGTTTTTTAATTCTTAAATATGATTAGTAAAGGGGATATGATGCTATTGCGCTTATTTATTTTCTTTTTTTTTCAGCTTTTTATGAGAGATTTTAATAATCATTATATCACATGCATAATGTAATTTACTTAAATAATCTTTAATTTTTGCTTCATTCATTACTTTATTTTGATAAATGGATATTGAGTGCCATTAAATTTTATTATATTATATAACAGGTAAATGCATTATGTGTGTATAAGTGGTTAGGAATTTGAGTATTTGACAACATACAGAGTTTTGAACTTTGAAGTCAATTTGGATTCGACTATTTGTTCAAACCATCATCAATGTGGCCAAGAAAAAGTTGATTACTAAGCAAAACCATTATCATAAATATGAAAAAGGCTAATTTCTCATCTTTTTCGAATTCATGATCCACATTATCATAAATATGAAAAAGGCTATTTTTCAACCTTTTCGAAATCATGATCCAAAATGCAATCTAACTCAACTGAATATTTGGATAAGAAAATTTGGGCAAATTTTAATTTAGTGGATAACAAGAGGGCAATACGGCTACCTCCCTCCTAGTGGCTGATTGTTGCAACTTCCATGTGAGCCTCGGCTGAGTCGAGGCTGGAGGGCTCAATTCCGCCTCTCCAGAGCCCTGTGGGAAAATTGGTCGGAGGTGGCCCCCGCCAAACCGCCTTTCTCCCCAATTGAGGTTGGGGTCGCCGGCCTAAAGTGTCTAGCCTTCGGCCTAGGGAGTCCGTCGGCCTGCCGGTGCTTTCTTGGCGGCTCCCTCCTTCTCTCGTTGTTGAAGACATTTTGATGCCGACGAGAGTGCGTTGGCGTTTCTCGACTTACATGATCGACTCCGGCCTTTAGTGTGATTATTATTATATTTATTATTATTATTTATGTTTGTGTCTATTTATGTTGTGTGTTGGACTTCTTTTATTTATTTTGGCTTTTTATTATAGGTGGTTGGTATTAATATGTATGTGTGACTGATGAACGACAATTTTTATCAAATTGAATGAAAATAAACTGTTTTGTGTTCGGTGTTCTTCAAGAACTTCCCCATCATATGCTATCCACTGCTTCACATTCAGAGCATAGATATAGATCGAAAATTGTCTCTTCGTCAGATTTGTCTTGGCGGTTTGAGTTTCGCCGCAGTTTTTGGATCTCAGGTCTCGATTTGCTGTTGTGTTGGGCCTGTGTGCTGCGGTGTTTGACTCAGTTGCTGGCTCGGTTGGTCGTTTAATTTTCCTGCTAAGTTTAGAGGAGGTATTATTAGAGATGTTAAATGGTCCTTGGCCCGACGGGCCGACCCGTTTAGCCCGGAAAAAAAACAGGGTTAGGGCCTTTTATTGTCAGCCTGTTTAAATCGGTGCTTTTTAGGTCCGAACCGTTTAGCCCGAAGCCCGTTAGGGCTAGCCCGAAAACCGATAGGGCTAGCCCGTTTAACTTGGGCTGGGTGGTGTATATGTTTTTAAAAAGGTAAGTAATATGTCTCATCCTTGTATATTATAATTTTGCTATTCTACTTCACATGTAATTATGAGTTATAATGTATTATTGTTATTTTGATAGATAATTATTAACAAATTTTATTCTATTTCGCAGCAAAATATTTAAGTCAATCAGAAAAACTAATAAAAAATAAATGAGATAAAAATCTAACACATAGAATATAGTGATAGAATATAAATTCAGCAGTATGCTATATTGTGAAAATTCCCGAAGTGTACCATATAACTAGTCAAATGGTAGTTATAAGTAATAGTTCGAATATTTTTTTTTATTGAGAAACAATATGTTATTTAAGAGTTTGCAATGTGTGTTCATATATGAAGTGTAGTTGTATATATATAGTAGTAAATATTAAATAACCGTTGAAAAAAACCGTTAACTAGGTGTTGTAATTTTTTATTTTTTTTATTATTATTATTGTTATTGTTATAATCCGTATAGCCCGTTTAGCCCGAAACCCGTTAGGTTTAGGGTTATATCTTTTTTTTGGTAGCCCGTTTAAATCCGGGCTTTTTAGGCCCGAACCATTTAGCCCGAAACTCGCTAGGGTTAGCCCGTTTAACATCTCTAGGTGTTATTGTACATGTTTATTAGGTGTGCGTCATTTTGTATTTGCTTGTGGTTTTATTTGGTCCAGCGGCGTCTAGTTTTTATTCTACTTTATGGAGTTGGTGTCTCCTTTATAGAATTTTGTTTACCGGTTAGCTATGTCTCTTTGATGAAGTTTGTATCCCGATCATCTGTGTAATCCAATGGGGCTGGTCCAGACTTACTTTTAACAAAAATAATAGAAGTTGCAAAGTTGAATAACCACATATAGTACAAGGTGTATAAAATGTCTCATCCCATTAAATAAGGGTAAAATATACATGACCCCCTTGTATTATACGAAATCTGCGCGTTTTCCCCCTGTATTTTAAAAATTGCGTCAGACCCCCTTCTATTAATGTTTTGTATGCGCGAAATACCCTAAAACGTCTAAATTTTGGGTGTTTTGCGCATACAAAACCTTAATAGAAGGGGGTCTGATGTAATTTTTAAAATACAGGAGAAAAACGCGCAGATTTCGTATAATACAGGGGAGTTTGGTGCATTAAACCCCATTAAATAACCATTTCTAAAGTGAACACAAAGAAATTACTCTTATGACAGTTTTTTTGACGAAAACAACAATATTTATTAAACCTTATTCATCCAAACGTAATATATGCTATGATTTTAATACAGTCAATCTCTATATATATAATTACTAGCTCAAAACATTTAATAAAACCTATTTAATTTTACCTATGTGGCAATTTAACAATTTTTCCCTCCAAAAACCGTTACATTTTGATGTATTTAATCTTTCATTTAATCATTAAATAATTAATACTCATCACTTCAAAATTACAAAAATTATTTTAAATTTTTTATTAATGATAGTTGACCATATAATGTGTTGACCGTATAATGTGATTAGATGTTATTATTGTTGTTACATTTAATTTTTTTTTTACAAATAAAAGACGTACCAAAATATACATTACATCTAATTTGATAAACGCAATTTAAAAAAAAAATATTCCAACTCTTTTAATTGTAAATTTGGTCTGCAAAAAAGTGAAAGAAAAATAATTAATCATTATATGCATACAGACTCACAATAATTTATTTATATCTGTGCAAATGCACAGGTCGAATACTAGTACAGTTCATCTCTGTCCCCATCTCCCCAAACCAAATCTGAAAAACAAACAAATTGTCGTCGGTCGTCCTCAAAACTCACCGGCGCACGCGCACCCTCATACGCTATGCCCTTCAAATTTATGCTCACGTTTTGAGACCGTGTGGGAGATAAGCAATTCCGCTCTGTGGATTTGCTTTTGTACGGAAATTGAGAATATTTATGCGGTTTTGTTTTATTTCTCCGTTTGATGAGTTTTACGTTGATTCAGATCCGATGATATTTTCAAATGCGGCCCAGATCCTTAATTCCTTGAATTCTCAACAACCCATTCAAGCAATTTGTTTATAGATTATAGAATTTTAATCAGTCTCTCAATCTGTGAGTTTCGAGTTTACGATTTTCGACTCAGAAAAGATGTCTGCAATGAAATCTTCTGGCCGGTTGTTCACAATCGGGCTGGTAACCGCGTGGTATTCGTCCAACATTGGGGTTTTGCTGCTGAACAAGTATCTGTTGAGCAATTACGGTTTCAAGTACCCGATTTTCCTAACAATGTGCCACATGACGGCGTGCTCGCTGCTGAGCTACGTTGCTATAGCGTGGATGAAGATGGTCCCGATGCAGACGATACGATCTAGGGTTCAGTTCATGAAGATCTCGGCCCTCAGCTTGATTTTCTGCGCCTCGGTTGTTAGCGGCAATATTTCTCTCAAGTACTTGCCAGTTAGCTTCAATCAGGCGATCGGTGCCACCACGCCGTTTTTCACGGCTGTTTTTGCATACTTGATGACTTTGAAAAGGGAAGCCTGGTTGACATACCTGACTTTGGTTCCGGTGGTTACAGGGGTCATCATTGCTAGTGGGGTATGTTTTCTGGTTCTTGTTCTAATTAGCTTCGGAAATGGTGTGATTTGGTTGTTCTTTTCAATCCCTATTTTTTTCTGGGTTTTGGTCTTGATTATTGGTCAGTAATGTTAAACTGGTGTCTTGGGAGTTGCTTAGGTTGTTTGAGAAGATGGGTTGTTATATGCAGGTTGTAAACTGTAGTGAAAATGTTAATTATGTTAAATTGGTTGTATGATCTAATACTGTTTGTGTGAATCTTGATATTTTTGTTTCTTGGGATAAACTGATCAAATGAGTAGGAATACATGTGTTTTATGATTCTATTCTTGTGGCTGTCAGGGTGAACCAAGTTTCCATTTGTTTGGATTTATCATGTGTGTTGGAGCAACTGCTGCAAGAGCACTAAAATCGGTGGTTCAGGGGATTTTACTTTCTTCTGAGGGGTAAGAGTGATATGTTTTTTGTATGAATTTCGTATATTTTCTTCTAGAATAGCTAAATGTGGCATAGTGTCTGAACATTTTCCTTTTTCGATTTTAGGGAAAAGCTGAATTCGATGAACTTGCTCCTGTACATGGCTCCTATAGCTGTTGTATTACTACTTCCTGCAACCATTTACATGGAGGAAAATGTTGTTGGTATAACATTGGCATTGGCAAGAGATGATAGCAGAATTATTTGGTTATTGTTGTTCAACTCTGCACTTGCATACTTTGTAAACTTGACCAATTTTTTGGTCACCAAACACACCAGTGCTCTAACTCTTCAGGTATTACTTTGCTCATTTTCTGTCCAAATATTTGTTCGTTTTAATTCTTTCTTTTTACTCTCTGGCTAATTTGTAGTTTCTGGTTTGAGTTCAAATTTGCATAATTTAGAAGTTTATGGTCATATCTTACATAAATATCAGTTTTGTCGCACATGTACGGTGACTACTGTGATCTAATATGTGTGAACAGATTAAAGTGCTTTAAAAGCTTAATTCCAGACACCCTATTCTGTTTGCCATTCGTTGGACTCATTATTTTTAAACTTGTGTGAGGGCTTTTTAGCATCTCACAAGTCACAACACGTGCATCTTTGATGTAATTGCCATTAATTTAACTGGTTAAGGTGAATAATTGGGTACCTTAAGAGTACACGAGAACAACATGCTATGATATTGTAGAATGCAGGGGATATGCATGTCATATGTACATATAAAATATATATTTATATAATTCTGTAAACATGACATATAAAGTAAATAGGTAAATTAAACGCAATATACATTTCAATCATAAACAACTAAGATATCATAAATACTCAGATCCTAGATTTGATAAATTCCATAAACATGTGAAACGTGCTGAAAATATCTGCAACAGATCTTTCATTTGAAATTTATTTCCCTCTTTTCTTTATTCTGTTTTAAGCAGATAAAAATTCTCACGTGCCTAAGTTTGATTCTGTCATGTATCGACGCCTTACTTTTACTTTTCTTTTAATTGGATATTTTATGAGTATGTATAGATATGTATATATGCAGGTGTGTTGTATCTGGTAAGTTTCTACACGCTACACCATCTCATAGAAGTCACGATCCTTCCTAAATAATTTCCCCAATGGATTCTTTTTTAGCCTTTTTTACTGAACAAAACTCTCTAGTCGAAAGAGAGGAAAAAAATAAAATAAAATAGGCTCTATTTTGTTTCTCTTTTGTAAGCACTTGCATTTTTCTTTGTTATTTCAGGTGCTTGGAAATGCGAAAGGAGCAGTAGCAGTGGTAATCTCCATATTGATTTTCAGGAATCCCGTCTCTGTTACTGGAATGCTCGGGTATACCCTCACCGTTTTTGGTGTTATCCTCTATAGTGAAGCCAAAAAACGTAGTAAATGAAAGTTCCGATATTCGTCTACAACAGATTATGAAGAATATGTGAAAGCCCGATTAATAATTTTTGCCCTAGTTTTCTTCGGAATCAGAAAATGGTCTCCAGCATGTAACAGCAGAGAAAACCTGATGAGTAGAGTAGAAAATTAAATAAGGTCTTGAAAAAAATCTTAAGTTCTTCCCAATTGTGGGTACTCAAAAGAAATATCCCTTTTTACTTACCATATATATTTTTTCATAAGAGGATTTTGATCACAGATGTGATTATCATGTTTTATATTGATCACAGATACACAAAGCACAAAATTTGTCAGTTACAGTTCTTAATCATCGTTAGTTGAGACGTGTTCTGTTATCTTCTTTACTCTGGTTTATTCATTGGCGTCTGATCAAATTTACCATGTGTTTGTCTTTACTGAACGATATTATGACATTAGAATAAGGACAAGTTTGAGTTCCGTTCGATTTAAAGTTCCAGGTGAGATTCTATTGGTGTGCTGCAGTACATGGTTCGATATATTTAATATGAAAGATTTCAAATTTGTTGAGCTTGCTTGAATGTTTTTTGTAGTGTAACATTCGAGTTGTGATGCTAAAGCTGAATAGTTTGTTTGTTTGTTTGTTCATTTATTTTTTTGTCTGNACATCTACAATCATTGCAGCACAAAAGGACTAACTCGTGCTCGTATTTGGACTGAGCTCGACTCTAGCTTGTAAAATGCCTGAATACCCGAACTAAATATCCTTTAATTAAAATTTGAGCCGAATTTGAGCAAATATCAAATGCTTGTTTGGGAGCACTTATGAAAAAGTCTGTTTAAGATATTGATTTATCAAAAATGGACTTCTCCAAAAGTCTACATCATTTACTTCTGCAAAATAGACTTTTTGGATAAACAACTTATCCATGAGTTCATTTACTTTTACAAAAGTCCATTTGAATAGTGTTTTCATACAAGTCACAAGTTAATAAGAATCAAGCTGATCTACATTGTTTGTGTTTTATGTCGAGCCGAGCCTTAAAATACTTGAGGCATGATTGTATACAAAAATTTTCAATTAAAATTTCATTCAACTCAAAATTTAACTCAATTCCAATATCTTCAATATTATCAATATAATTAAATAATGTTACCCAATCAATCTTACACATCAGATCTACTTTAATTCACTATTTATCTTTCACATAATTTTAACTAACCATCACTTCATATCATCTATCTCTTACTTTTATATCCAAGTGGATTTACTCGATTATAAAGGATTTGATTCCTCTCTAATTATAAAAACTCTTATCTTGGGAAATAAGTTATTAATACTCTTATAAATAACGCTCCAGGTTAACTTGTGTTTTCCTTTGTTCTTCAGGGTGAGACAAAATTTTCTTTTCCAAAATTATGTTTCATTCCATTGAAATGTGTATAATTGTGACATCGTTGTGAATATGTGTCATTTTCATACAATGGAATGTGACATGAAATCGAATATAATTTTGGAATAGAAAATCTCATCTTGTCGCGGGTCTAAGTGAAAGAACCCTTTTACGTACCTTACTTGAAAGGGTCTAAATCCGTCAACGTAGTTGTGATTATAGCGTCTTTATATGAATTTATACTCCAACAAGAAATTTATCAATGGTGGTGACATTCAATGTTTACAGACTAGCCCAGGCAACAAACTGAACTTTAAAG